TAAAAAAAAAAAAAAAAGACTGATAACAAACAGCAAGTGTTGGTGAGGATATAAGGCTATTAACACTTTCACACTATGCAGATGAGAATGTAAAATGGTAGAACCACTTTGAAAAACAGATTGGCATATATTTTTTAAATTAAATGTATGTGTGCTATACAATACAGCAGTCCAATTCCTTGGCATTTACCCAGGAATTGCCAAGACTTCATTCATCAGAGTCTCAAACTAGAAACACCCCAAATGTCCTTCAACTGATAAATGGTTGCTCACACATGGAATATTACTCAGCAACAAAAACCAGTGAATTCAACTTGATTCATTTGTGACCGGCCTCTCCCAGAGTCCTTTGGACCATGGGTGTAGTGGCAGGGAGGTCAGATGTTCCTTCATCTGAGACTGGGGACTGGGACACAAACCCCTTCTATCAACTTTTTTTTTTTTTTTTTTTTTTTGGTACTGAGGATTGAACCCAGGGGTACTCTACCACCAAGCTCCATCCTCAGCTCTTTTAATATTTATTCGGGATTGTGGCTCAGTGGTAGAACACTCACCTAGCACATGCGAGGCCCTGGGTTCCATCCTCAGCACCACATAAATAAACAGAATAAAGATATTATGTCCAACTACAACTAAAAAAATTAATATTTAAAAGAAAAAAGAGTTCATCCATAAATATTAAAAAAAAAAAAAAACATTTATTTTGTTTTTATGTGGTGCTGAGGATCGAACCCAGTGCCTCACGCTGCTAGGCAAGTGGTCTTCCTCTGAGCCACAACCCCAGTCCTTAATATTTATTTTGAGATAGGGTCTTCCTTAGTTGCCCAGATTGGCCTCAAACTTGTAATCCCCCTGCCTCAACCTCCCATGTCCCTGGTATTACAGGCATGCACTGCCATGCCTGACTCTTCTACTTCCAAAAAAAATTTTTTTGTGGGAATCAAACCCAGAGCCTTTTATGTTTGGCAGGCAGTACTCTACCACTGAGCTATATCCCAGGCCCTCTTATATGTACTTTGGTCTCACTCTATTGGGCTGTTGATGCAGAAGTGCTCGTTGGTCCCTTTCTTTCCTCCCTGTCTCTTTTCTCTCCTTCCCCTGCTACTCCCCTCCAACTTATCTATCTATCTATCTATCTATCTATCTATCTATCTATCTATCCATTTATACTAGAGATTGAACCAAAGGGTACTTTACCTCTGAGAGACATCCCCAGCCCTTTTTTTTTTTTTTTTAATTTTGAGACAGGGTCTCACTAATTGCCTAGGCTAGGTGTCATTGTATTTGTGCTACCAAATTCCTCCCCAAAGGTTGTATTACTTTGGGCTCCCACCTGTTTCCCCTAAGCCTTGCCAACAGATATAAACAGCTGAGATTTTGCTGGTCAAATTAGAAAAAAGCTGAGCATCTTTTCATGTATCGAAGGGTGGACTGGAAACCTTTATTCCACATACAGTACACACTAACAGGTGCCTGTATGCACTTGTTAAATGAACAAATGAGTGCCCTGATTATGTTTATATTGGATTCACCATGTTTGGACTGTTGTGAAACTTATCCTCTTGACAAGGTGTCCCTTGTCCCAAGGTGGGGCACTGCCTGGTAAAAGAGGAGACAGGCCTTCTAAAAGGAGTATGTCCTGGACCCCACCCTAGGCAGGTAGAAGACCCTTCTCTCCCAGTGAAGGGGGTACAAAGAGTGCAGTGTTGTGAATCCAAGATAGCCATAAAACTACGTGTTATGTGGCCAGTGGCCTTTTACCCTAGTGGAATGGTTTCCATTGTTTTTGATATTTCATCCTGGTCTTCTTATCTGCCTCTTCCTGCCTCTCTTTATTCTCATACTGCTGGATTCATAGATCACCTCTGTACAGGTGATTCTTCTCTGCCCCTGAATGCCACCATCTGTTGGACCTGGGCTCTGCATTGACACCTCGTACCAGATGTTTCCA